GGGCCGGGGATGGGGATGGGCACACGGGGCTGGGGACGGGGCACGGGGCTGGGGACGTGGCACGGGGCTGGGAATGGGGCACGGGGCTGGGGACAGGACAAGGGATTAGGAACAGGGCACAGGGCTGGGGACGGGGCTGGGAACAGGGCTGGGGATGGGGATGGGCACACAGGGCTGGGCACGGGGCACAGGGCTGGGGACAGGACAAGGGATTAGGAACGGGGCACAGGGCTGGGGACGGGGCTGGGAACAGGGCTGGGGATGGGGATGGGCACACAGGGTGGGCACAGGGCACAGGGCTGGGGACAGGACACACAGGGCTGGAGATGGGCACATGGGGCTGGGGGCTCTGGGGCAGGGGACACAAGGGGCTGTGTGTTCTGGGGACAGGGGGCTGGGGGGCTCTGGGGACAGAGGACACGGGGCTGAGGCTCTGGGGATATGGGATGTGGGGCTAGGGACACGGGTTTCTGGGGACAAGGGACATAGGGGCTGGAGTCAGGGGACACGGGGGGCTGGGGGCTCTGGGGACCCAGAGTATGGTGGGACTTCCACAGCATCAGTGCCACCATGGTTTTGGGATGTCCCTTTTTGGGATTGGGGCGTCTCTGGGTGGATTTGGGGCGTCCTCACAGCCTTGGAGGTGTCCATGTTTGGGTTTGGGGTGTTCCTGCAGCCTTGGGGGTGTCCCCGGGTGTGTTTTGGGTGTCCCGGGTTGTCCCTGGATGTGTTTGGTTGTGCCAGGACTGTCCCTGGGTGTGTTTGGGGTGTGTTCGGGGTGTTCTGGGGCTGTCCCCAGCTGTGTTTGGGGTGTGCCAGGCTGTCCCCAGCTGTGTTTGGGGTGTGCCAGGCTGTCCCTGGATGTGTTTGGGGTGTTCTGGGGCTATCCCCACCGTGCCAGGGCTGTCCCTGGGTGTGTTTGGGGTGTGTTTGGGGTGTTCTGGGGCTGTCCCTGGATGTGTTTGGGGTGTTCTGGGGCTGTCCCTGGATATGTTTGGGGTGTTCTGGGGCTGTCCCCGCCGTGCCCGGCTGTGCCAGCTCTGCCCCCGTCCCGCAGTGATCCGCCTGGTGCAGACGGACGAGTCCCGGTACCCGTTCCACGCCCGCCCGCCCACCTTCCTGCGGGCCCAGCTCTACAAGTACTGGTTCGGGGGGGGCAGCGAGGGCAGGTGAGCGGGGAGGGGTCCCTGCAGCCCCCAGCCCGGCCTCGGGGGGGGCTCTGGGCTCACCTGAGC